GTTGGTCGATCAGCCCATCGATCGCGGCTTGGGCCGCTTCATCTGTTTCCTTATTATTTGGTTGGGACGAGCCAGGTTTGCTCACCCCAGAAGCACCTACCTTGCCAACAGGAGCGGTTTTCTTCTTGGCCAAGCCTTTGGCCGCTTCCTTTTGAAGATCGCCAGCTTGCGTGGAAACCTCTTTACCTGAGCCAATTTGTTGCTTAGGTGCTTTATTTTTTCCTGAACCTCCAGTTAGTTTGGATGCCTTCTTCGCTGGCCCATTTCGAGGCTCTATAATGCTTTTCCCACCAATTGCCTTAGTGGCAGTCATGGGCTTCTTCACACTTGGGCCTCCCCTAAGCTAGCCACTAGCCCGCTTCAAATTAACAGTTTCCGCGGGCTGTTTCGTCCCTGAAACAGTCGGAACCTTCGTATCATCCATGGGGACAACTGCTTTCTTCTTTTTTGGTTTTTCGGCCCACATTTCTGCGAGGAAAAAAGGCAAGAGAATTAGCAATCTATTTTACGCAAGAAAGCAAGCGTGAGCAAGGAACAACTTACCTTTCTCCAAAAGTGCTAAGAAATTGGCTTCGTCCCGACAAAAGTCGTATGCTTTCAGGTGAGGAAGTGTAAGAAGCTCGTTGACGTTGCGTTGATTGCCCAGAAGATCGCTAAAATGCTGTAGCCTTTGTAAGCTCCCTAGTTAGTAAATACGCGTATAAAACGCACATTTACGTATTTTATAAACGCTACCAAATTATACGTGTATAATACGAAGATCCGTATAATTCGCGAATTATACATGAATTATTCGCGAATTATTGAAAAAAAAAACTGAGCTTTGTTATTCGCTAACAAGCATGCGGCCATGGCTTCTGGAGGAAGGTAACAGAGCTTTGTTACTAGTATTTGAAGAAGCGATCGAAGAATAAGAAGAGGAAGAGGAAGGTTGTCTAGTTGAGTTGGTGGCGGAGGCGGCAGGAGAGATATTTTTTCGAGCACGTGATTGAAGTTGATAGAGGTGTACTTGTTGGTTCTTGCCATCCACCACAACTCCAGGAACGAAGAGAACGAGATTGAGATTGAGATTTTAGATGTGTTTGCATCAAGGAAATGGTAGGCGGTGGGTTTTGATTTTGGGGGAAATACAAACAGTAGCAAAGGCTAGAGGCAAAAGGCAAAACGGTGGGCGAAATGGTGAAGTTTCAGAATCGCAAAATTGGATGGCGGGGTCGGTTCCATGTGCCTACGTGGAGAGATCTTAACGGAGGGTTCACAACAACAAACTTTTTCTGCTTCTTTTAAGATCTTCCTTACATTTGTTATTATCATTCATTTTAATTGATTAATTAATATATTAAAAACAAATTCGACATACCCCACAACTTCAAATCTTTTGTTTTAGGATTGATGATGTTAGATTTGGATACCTTATATCTAAAAATACTATATAAATTCATGATGTCTCCTTCTAATACAAAATTAGAACTTTAGATCAATAAAAAATAATGTAAATAAAATAAATGATAGCTTCTCATTTACGGTTCTCTGCTGTATTAACTTAAATATATAATTAAATGTTTATAATTTTACTACTAAAATTGAATGTTTACTTCTTAAAACAAACACTTATATAGAAATGGAAGCAACAGATATAGTATTTTAATCAGTAGTCCATAAAAGTATTAAAACTAAGATTGATATTGTCGTATTTTTCCAAACGTATTATTGACAATGTACCGTATTAAACCCGTATATACTCGTACCATATTTTTTCAGTATCCGAATTTTATGGCCAAATTTTTATAAACGTATTTTTCACCGTTTGCCGTATTATACCCGTAAAATTCCTATACCCTTTTTTTTCCGTACCCATATTTACTAACTAGGGTAAGCTCATGGATGGAAGATAACTTTGCTTGACGTTAACTGCAAAAAAAAAATAGGACGATCAGTTTGAATGCACAAACAAAAAAAAAAAAAGGGATGATCAGTTAGAATGTACAGCTTAAGAATAAACCTTGCACGTACACGGGAAGCCCGAGGCTTTCTCACTTCCGTAGCGAAGACATCGGTCTCCTGGGCTTTGTAGAAAAAGAATTGGGAATCCCAGTGTGGAACTTTTTTCAGAACATCGATCAGTCTATTAAAACATACTCTCCTCGCTTTGAAAAGGTAGTACGTTTGGTCTTACCCTTTTTTGAGCCTGTACAAGTGGACGAGCTCTTTGACGGATGGCTCGCCTAATTCAGCGATCATGTACGTGATGTATATCTCAATAATGATCATGTAAGAGTTGGCTATCAATTGAAGAGGAACGATGTTGAATCCCCTCAGTACGTTGTTGATGAAGTAATGCGAGGGAATGGATACCCCGCACCTAAGGAGAGTTTTGGAGGTAGTTACCCATCCAGGTAGGGGATTCTTCAGAGAATATTCCCCCGGAACCATCAAGATAAGCTATGGCGCGTAGACTGCCCTTATGCATTCGAGGTCCCTGAGGGTAATCGAGGATTGTTGTTCTGTTCGTAGCCTATGGACCGGAGACGGCGGAGATTGGGCTAGTTGAATCGAGCATAATCAGACAAGCCCGCAAAGTCGAAGTTTGAGCTTCGAGCGACGAATTCCTCAGAAACCTCGGGGAGCAAATCCTCAAGGGCTGCCGAGCTTACCGGCGAATCGAGCATTCGATCTATTGTACGATTGCTAGAAGACAACATGATTGTAACTCTACTCTGGGTACCTGAAAAAAGAAGCGAACATGTGTTAGAGCTCGAACAAATCGGCAACCATTCCACACTCGCTTCTATTTCAAGCACCCGAGATAGCCCGCGCAATGCGGCGAAAATACGCAACCAACCCGAGTCTGTCAGAGATGCACCCAAAAAACCCTACTAAAACTTTAGCACATCCAATATGACCATTACAGTAGCCACCCTTGGACGCAAAAAATCAGAGAAACAAAAGAGAATAAGGGAGAGAAGCCTTACCGGAATAGGGAAAATGCTGAGAACTCGTGAGAAAGACCACGACGACGACACAAGAGCAACAGCGGAGAGCAGCAAAAAAGAGTCAGAATAACTTTCGGAGTGACTATTCTAAGGTTTTTCGCCACCTTTTATAGTGGTTTGCATGGGAGACGAAAGGGCGGGGTTTAATCATGGCCGTAGACTTAAAGTCGATTCTCACCCTTCATTTGTAGAGCAATCTTGGCCCTTGGTCGTGGCCACGTGTCGATCATCCACGGGGAGCGATGAACTGTTAGTTTGCAGTAATGATAACCATCACCGCACGTCGCCTCGACTTCACGTGTGAACAGTTGTCGTCGCCCATGTGTGACAAAACGTAACTGGCAAAGGTTGCCACATTTAATGCGACACAACCACACAAAAATTACCTTTATAACCTAATTTTTCATATTCTAAATTTTGACAAGTACCATGGGAGATCCAAGTGTGAGGTACGTCGATCAAACATGAGGTCGACCATAAGAGCCCGTTCGGACATGCACTCAGAGATTCACTATTGAAGCCGAGCTTGACATCAAATCGAGCAATAGTCTTCGAAGCCTGAAGCGAGAATCGAACACTAGGGGCAGATGTTGTGTGTGGCTTTTCTGCTAAGCTCGGGCCAACGCGAGGATATAGCTCGACCCAGAATGAGCTCGACAATAATGATTAATTGACCCAACATAAGCTCGTCGAGTCGAAGCTCGACCCAACATAAGCTAGTCGTGGACAGTTCAAGGAATCATTCAATCAACCTCTAGATTATTTTAGATCCCAGATATTACGGGAATGACTAGATTAACCGCAATCACTATGCCCAATCGCGAGAATATCGGAATTGCGATTCAGATCAATTGTAATATCCTTAATTTCGCTATTTTCTTTGTACAAATCTTGTATATAATCCCCCTCAAACGAGGAGGAAGGGGTTGCGAATTTCACATAAGAACTATATTATAAGCTCTTATAGCAAATACAAAAACAGTGGACGTAGGTTTTAGGGTTAATCTCGTCGAACCACTTTAAAACTCTCATTGTCTTTACTTTATTGCATTCTTTTTACTTACATTGCTAATTACTCTTAATCACGCACACATCAGTTTCGATCTCGACAAGGTCGATCGGATTTCGTTCGTTGATGCAGATTTTTGTATCGAGTTATAAATTTTTTTTATAGGTTTTATTCTTCTTAATTACCATGGGTTATGAAAGAATTTCATATAACTCTGAATATTCATCACTTTGTAAATTGCTATTAAATATATAATTTTAAGTATAAATTTCTTCTGTAATCAAATTGAGGTATTTTTAATTTAGGGCAAAACTGGAAATGGGGTATGTTGAAAGATTATAAAAAAAGTTAGAAACTTTTTATGGGGTATACTTAGACGTGAGGTTTTGTTAGAATATTTTTCTCTTGAAAAGATGTATAAATTTGAATTTTTCTTTTTTATCATGTTATTGTCACTTTGTATCCCGTACAGATGTCAAGAGGCGTCCCATGAAAAAGTAGGAAAATGACAAAAAGAATGTTTCTAGTATGCCTCACCTTTAAATTCATATAAAATGTTAATTTTCAAAAACTGATATTACTATCAAGGGGTGTGCATGAATCCAAAATTGAGTATCACTCAAGGGCACATCGATCAACCTAGATGGTTTATACCTAACCCCATCCCAACCTGGAAAGTTTGGGTTAACCTGATTCAATGAAATCAACTCATATATATGCCACCGATAATCAGAACAGACCAATTTAAACCGAGTACGCTTGGTTTGAGTTAATCATATTTTCTACTCAAAATTACAATAAAATTCACTTCTCTTTCTTTTTTTGGGTCAGTTCTAGCTTTGTTAAGAGCTCAGGAAATTATGGAATATAATATCCGAAAGACCCTAGGAGGGATTCAGCACCTAATTCTTTAGGTAAAATCAATGGTCAATGCAACCCTTTTGATTTTACTTCTAAAGGGTTCACTTTTGCATTCAGAGGCAGATATTTGGTACAAATAACAAGAAAATCGTCCACCAACTTAATGGAGACCGACTAAATCAATAGCACATGGACTAATTTATGTGTTTATATTCAGCAATTAACAACATACACACCCCTTAAATGATCTTCCAAACAGATCACTGCACTTCTACTGCATTAATGCTTGAGCTATTTGCATATATTTCTAAAGAAACCGAAACTACATATATTTGCATATAAATGGCCAAGTACCCAATTTGCGGAGTCATAAAAAAGCACCTGGAGAGTGGAGCACACTCAAACAAGAGAAGGCATAAGTTTTATCATTGATACTGAATTTGAGTTTCATCCACCCTTTACAGGACCTGTATTTGCTGGCTTCTGGAAAACTCTTAAAACTGGCATTCCATCGTCATCATCATTTCCAACCCTCCATGAACGATCTTTTTTCTTTTGAGGCTTCTTGTGGTGTTTATGGGATGCAGGCTTCTTAACAGCAGCCTTCTTTGAAGCAAGCCCATTTGCCAAGTCAAATGAGTTAAGATGATCCAGCACATGCTCGAGAACAGGTGCACTTTCAATGTCACCGTCATTTCCTGGAGAATCTTCAATATCAGATTCATCTGACTCCTGTATTTCAGACAAGCTGGGTCCTTGAGTATCTTCAATATCATTTTCCTCACAAGACATTCCGGGGGGCATTTGATAGTGGGGCAGCTTTCCATGAAGAAAATCCTTCAAAATTTGGCGAGCTGCCCTTGTTTCATCGGGCAGTCCACTCGAGGCAACATACCCACGTGAAGCACAATAAGTCCTCAAAAGTTCTATGGCCAGGGGAGGCCGAGACTGTGGTTCATATGGCTTTGGCTTCGGCAAATTTATTTTATACACATTCTCAATGACATGCCTTGGGACTTGGTTGGCCACAACCTGCACAGCCTTTCTGTGCTCAGTCATCCGATCAATGGGCAGCACCCCTGATGCAATCATATCATATCTTGAGCTTGAGAAGGAAGGGAACACCAATCCAGGGCAGTCACATAGCGTCAGCTCATCAGAAATTATCAATGTCTGGAAATGCTTTGTTTTCCCTGGGGTAGAGGTGACACCTGTCCGTTTCTGGCCGACCAAAGCATTGATAGTTGAGCTTTTCCCTACATTAGGATACCCAACAAATCCCACTACACTCTTTAGTGCTGAATTTCCACTGAGAGATTGAGCGTTAGATGTTGCTGTACTACTGCACCCTGATTTCCTTCTCATTTTGACTATCTCTTCCGCTTCAGACTGTAAATGGGCCAAAAGCTCTTCCCTGCCATATATTTTTGTATCAGGGTCATCCACCTTTTGGTGGGTATCCTGCGTCCTCCATGGGCCACTGAGTGTTTTTCCCTCCAGAGCTGCAGAAGCAGCTTTAGCTGACCAGAATACAAAAAGGATCTCATGATCTCGAAAATACTTTGCCCATTTTTCCCTGGAAAGAATGCCAAGTGATGAATACTTTAACAGGTTGCAAAATAGGAAAATTGAATGGCAGCATTAAAGAGTTTGAAGTTTAGCTCCTAACCTTACAGAAAATGGTAAAAGGTCCGCCTTGTTCACAAGAAGCAATGTCCTCTTAAATGCATCAATCTCTCGTGCATATGCCTGCATTACAACAAACAAATGTCAAATCATAACGAATTAGCCAAAGTGATAGCCTTTGTCATGGTAGTTGGTCGAAACATGAAACATGATGCTTCGACTCTTCTTTCAGCTGAATTAAAACAAAAAGAAATAACTCTTCGCCTAAACATTGAGGTTCCATTTAAAAGTCATTATTTTCTTAAAAAAAAAGAGTCATTCAAATTGGATTGTGTATTCACATATAATAAATTTTTGACAAAGCTTAGTAATGTGTATAATCTTCATAGACATTTGCATGAAACTGCATTTAGAGCTCCTCTGCAAACTCAAGAGTATAAGACTGCATCTTCAGCTTTCGCTAGATATTAACACCACTCAAGCTTTGTTTTGCACATGAAAAGAGTAAAAGAACCTTTTATGCTTCTAGTACTAAACTAATATTAAAGAAACGATTGGCCCAGTTATCCAACCTGTTAGATCCTCCCCTTTTAAGACATCAAATTTAAGGTATGTATTCAAGATTAAATCAAGATCCTTAAATTGAATTGAGGGTCCGACACTTCCCCTAAATTGAATTGAGGGTCCAACATTTCCCTTTAGATTCAATTGCCATGTATCTACACCAGTAACCCCCCTTCTACACTAGTTTGAGAATAGAGATTGCATCTCGTTAAAGTTGAGATCTAGGGCCTGATTAAACTCTCATGGTCAACCATTGTACACACTTGTTAATTAACATTCTGATGTTTCCGTCTTAATAGTAACATTTTGATCTAAAGCTTTAATACCAATGTTATGATAATGATAGTAGCCTAACAAAAATTTTGATTGCCAGGAGGTGATACTTCCCAAAAGAGAAGAAAAACTACAGTTACTCTATTTCTCAATGACCTACCATAGGAGACCTTAAGTTTGAAGATAAGTTGTAGGACAGCAGCCTAATTAAAATAGGAGAAGAAAGTTAAAAACTCCTAAATCAAATAAAATAAATAACACTAATTACTTCCAAGTCAGATTAACAAACCAAATAAGTTGAGTATGAACATAAGCAAGCATGACTTCAAGTATGAACTGTGGAAAATAGGTGATCCACAAAATAAAAGAGTATTTTTTAATCTTCATAATTAATGTATTTATATGATAAATGAAATTGAATTATATAAAATATAGCCTCAGGCAGGTTGGAGAATATAAAACTACTTCAGTAAGGGCAAACTTAAGGAAATAATTGGTATCATAACATTCACCAGCCATCAATGAAATCATAATCCATAAAAGTTGCTGAAAGAGGCACTGTGAAAGTTTATCAACTCAATGAGAGATTGGGACATACAAATCTTTTGAAAGAAGTACTAAAATGGTTCCGTTCTATTACTTTATACATGTTGCATAACCTGAACACTCACATTGCTATTACAATAAGAACATTAATGACGTAGTTTGAATCTCATTACTTCAATTGGTCATATACAATACACAGGGCAATGAAAGTGAAATCACTTTTTTAACCAAACAAAATACTATTCACTCGGCAAAAACAGTTTTTGTTCATATTACTTTTTTTAAAAAAACTAAGCCACTGCTCACACAGGTAGCCACATCTGCAGGCTTAACTTCAGAAAACTTTCCCCATCAGTAAGGTCCACAAGACTGATGTTACCAAAGCAATAAACAGAACAGTTTCTCAAACTATTATGTGTTACATGTTTCAGTTAACATGCTTGACGAGAGAGATCCATAAAGGTGGTTTTTACTGGAGAAAAAAATGAAGCCTAAGAGAACAAATTTCAAGGGCATGCTTAAAGCTACTCCATAAAACAGTATTCTTAGATTAACAAAGGAAGACATGCATTACCTCAAGATCAGGGCAGCGGTAAAACAGTGGATCTCGTGCATCAACTACCATCACAAGCTGAAAAGGACAAATTTTAATCAGAATATCACAATATGAATCAGACAGCATAGCAGAAAAGATTCATCAGTTTGTATATAAGGATATGCTGCAAAGAAAGAAACTTCAAGAGGACTTAAAATTTAAGAGAAAAAATGCTTAGCTAAAACACATTATAACTACAGATATACAAATAATATACTGCAGTCAGAACAATATCTTTTAGCAATTTAAGTGACCAAACATTACAATATGAAAAAAATTACAATTAGTGAAGGTCAGTATTTAAAGAGGTGGGTCATCTATCAAACCACAAATAGAACATGTCTTCATGAGCATGCAATATCAGCACTCGCAGGCCCACAAAGTTTCCTTTTCGGGTTTGTTAAAGAAAAGATCCACACAACAATAATTACCAAATGCGAGAAAAAAAAAAAAAAAAAAAAAAAAAAAAAAAAAAAATTACATGAAATTAAAGAAGAAATCATAAGAAAAAAAGTGGTTAGGATTATTTACTACAATACCACTTTCATCAAGGTTTAAACACCACCCCCCCCCCACCCTTTATTCCAAAAAAAAAAAAAAAAAAAAAAAATTAAGTACAAGTTCTAAAACTAACTAGTACCTGCAGAATATCCAGCCTTAACATATACCGAGATGGAGGCAAAGTAGCAACACCCTGATACCAACCCTAAAACATGATTATCCTTATCCCTTATACATAGTTAAGTTAAATGAACTACATATGGAATATTTACAACAACACCATACTGAAAGACCATATCCACTGGTGATATAAAGGACCTTTTTCCTAGATGTTCTAAAATCCGGGCAGAGTAACAAGTCCTGATGATAATTAAAGAAGGCCACTACAGGTACATGCAAATATACATAAACAGAAAGTGTGATGTTAAATCTATTAATATCAACTAAAAAACAGTTAATCCCCATTATTATTACTAAGGCATTAGTCTTAAAAGGCTGTAATTTTTAGAAACACCCTCGGGTCAATGGAGCTTTTTATATATATATGTTAGAATGGTTGCAAGAGTTTCAATCATTATCTTTCCCAAAACTATAAAAATGCCTTCATAATTTTTTCTCTGTACGGTCAAAGCCTTCAATGACAACTATCAAGGGCTCACCCCAAGTTTTCCATCCATGGACATAAATGTCTCCTATGTATCTTTTCACACACCCAATAAGAGAAATTTTCACTCACCCAATAAGAGAAACTTATTTTCTATAATATTACTACCATATTTCGATATCCATACATTCAACTCTAGACCAATAACATTACAGCACGTGTAAAGTAGAACAGAAATCACTTTCCGATGGTAAAATAAAATGTCCACATAACAGCTTTAATAAAACAATGACTTTTACCAAATCACTTCGCTCAAGCACCCGCCAAAGTTGTCTCCAAATATCAAGGTTTTTCTCAAATGGAGTAAGAACAAGCTTTTCATTTTCCTCCAGCCTGAAGCAAAATGCAATTCCAATAAACATAAGGAAGCCAACTACAAAGCATAGATAAATTAATTTAACATATAAAGAACTAATTAATCAAATAGACAACCTCGCAAGACTTCGCCGCCAAACCAAAAAAGCTTGTCTTTCATTATCATCAAGCTCTTCTACAGACATTCCCGCATTCCAAGGCGGCCTACGTGGCACTCTTAAACTGCTGGCATGTAATGCCTCCTCTTCCTTCCTCTCCTCGGCCGTCATCATCTCGCTTCTACCACTACTAGACCCCGCATCTCTGATGCATTCATATTCATTATTAGTTATTCATATAAAATAAATCGGAATCTGGTGAATTAATTTTGAAATCAATAAAGACTCACAAATTAATAGGCTCAATAGGAACCGGGTAGGCCTGGGCCTCCTCGTTGTGTTGAATGATGGCGTCTATGTCGCTGATATCGGTAACGGATTCCAGAACCTTCTTATTCTGGTTCCTGTAGTAGTTGCCCTTCTCTTTGGACTGCTGAATCATTTGGTTATGGTGCTTCACTAGAGCTCTGCCTAGCCCTGTCTTCTCATTCTTCCCCATTCTCTTCTTTCTTATTCAATAATCAAACTCTCAATCAAATCAACCAAAACCCTAGGGAAAAGAAGAAGCTATGAAGCTTGCTCCCAAAGATGATAATAATAGTAATAGCTCTGAAAAATTTATTACCACAAACTCTTGGCGGTGGAGACTGGAGAGTTCAAATGCTTTTTGATTAATGTTTACAAGGGTTTATAACGAGAGGAAATTTAACTAGCCAGACCTCTCAAGTTCGCATTTAAAAAAATACCCCCGAAATTTTTTTGTCATTTTTTTAAGTTAGAAAAACTGATCGTGGCACATTTAAAATTTATCAAACACGTAAAATAGGTTACACTGAAAATATTTAAATATATATGGGTAAAATAGGTTACACTGAAAATATTTAAATATATATGGGTAATATTATAATTAACAGAAGTTTGTTTAAATTTTGAAAATAAAAAACGACTCCCTCCCTTCAAAATCGCTTAATCGAGCAATATACTCAAAAAACGATCGACGAAAAACCTTTGATTTCTTTGCGATTTCTGACGATAAAAGTTCCTTATTTCTTGCCAATATTCAATCGTAAAGATTCTTTACACAACATCATGGCTGATATTCACAAAGAGGAGGAAAACCCAACCCCATTCCAAATCCTAGACTCTGGTGGCGACGGCTGTTCAAAGGCTGTCGAAGAAGATGCTCTGGTGGAACATCCGATGAGCCAAGGTGGTCCAGAGGCAGAGGAGACAATGGCGGCACAAGAACAAAGAGAAGAATCGAAAAATGGTTATGAAGAGGAGGACGCTGGCGAGAATTTAGGTAAGGAGTAGGACATCGGTGAAGAAGGGGTATGTTTTTTATTGGTGGTTTTGAATTTGATGAATAATTTGATTGGTTTGTGCAAATTGGGGGATGTGTAGTTGGTTTTATTGTTACGGTGGTTGTGGTGCTTTGTCGAGCAATTGGTAGGCTTCGAGGGAGTGGCTTTGTTTGGGTTCTAGAGGATGGGGGAAGGCAAGGGAGGTCGTAGGGAGGTTGTTTGTGGGAGGTTGGAGGGCTGGAGATGGCAAGAGGTGGCGGAATAGGGGGGGTTGGAGGGTTACCCTGCAACATCCATCTCTAGTCATGGAACCTGCCACAATAGCCTCTGTAGGGCCTGTATTGGCTTCCCCGATTCTCTCGAAGCCAAAAATACCCACTCCCCGATGCCCTTGAAGCCCATATCCCCCAAATTGGTAGTCTATTGGTTGTTTTGGTTTCTTTTTTTGCTAATATTTAGTTTATATCGATTGTGCAGATTTTCCGAAGCGTAAATTATAAAGATTATAGGTTGGGTTGTAAGTGATAAGGTACCGTACTTCCCCGTAAAGGTGACAGTTAGGTCGAGTTGGCAAGTTCTTATGAGAATAATGAAGATTTTAGAGGAACAAAAGAAAGGTATGGACCGATTCAAAGAGAGTTGTTTTTGTCATTTTGCAGACATCGGAGAAAATTGGAAAAAAGGCATTCTAGGGGCAGGGAGTGCATTATATGTTGTTGCACTCAGTTAAAAGCCAAAAAAATAAAAAAAAAAAGAAATGTGGTTCGTGGTGGATGGGAAGCCACTATGTTTTGGGATGATGGAATATGCCCTGATGACAGGCTTAAGATATGGGGCATTTCCAGATGCGAAAGAGCAAGAGAGAATAACGAAGAGTAGGGCAGCCAATAACTTGGCTAAAAAGGTTTTGGGGGGGAAGACGTCTATTACGGGACGCTATTTAGATGAGAGGTTAAGAGAAGGTTGGTATATCTCTTTAGAGAAGTTCAAGATATGCCTAGTATGGTTTATGCATTCGATCCTAATGGCTTCTGACTCAACAAAAGTTGTTAATATGGATTGGGTGCAAGCAACATGAACTTCTTTAATGCTTATCCGTGGGGACGGGTATCATTTCAGCTAACCATCGACTCCCTACGTGGAAAAGACATGACGATAAAGCATCGCCAAGCTGTCCAAAAGGATAGAACGAGCACGTACAATTTGTTTGGCTTCCCATGGTTAATGCAGGTAAATATTAATAGTTTTTTGTTATATTTTTTATATTATAAGTTTTTTTATTATGATATGGACTATTTTTTTTACAACGTAGGTTTGGATGTATGAGGTCGTCCCTGTTCTGGCTAGGGGGGGGGGGGGGGGGGGGGTGAAAGAAGACCGCAATTTCCTAGGATGTTGCGGCGACACATCGAGAAGTGTAGCCATTGGGATTACAACAAAATATAAATGGAAATTCAAGCAGCTCAGGTAAGATTAAATGATTAATCTTTTGAATATGCACTTGCTTTTAAAAGTGGCTTAAATTTGATTGATTTTTTTTCTTACTGCAAGGAGTCGTCCGTCTCTTCCTCACCCCTACTAGGGGTGAAGCGGGAGAGGAGTATGTTACATCGTTCAGAGCATTCGACGATGCAGCAGATGAAGGGATAGATTGCCTAATGCGAGACCTAGAAGGGGTCACGCATGTGAGTGCAGCTGTTGGGCCACCACTTGAGAATGTTATTGAGGCCGAGGATGATGATGCTCCAATCGGCGGGAGGGAGGGAGGAGGAGGAGGAGGATGAAGAGGCTCGTACGCCTCCACCCAATTGGCAAATCAGTACAATAAGTACCGCTTTGCCGAGGCGTTAGGGTCGGGAGAATGAGGTGGTTGACCTCATAAACGGTCTGTTTGAGAGTTTTATAATAGTTGTTTATGAGAGGTTTGAGAAGATGGAAGAGTAGATGAAAAGGGTGGAGAAGAAAGTTGATAGGGTGGCAGAGAAAGTTAGTAGGGTGAGGGAGGAAGTTGGCGGGGGTATTTAAAGTGGTTGAAGTGCAACCTAAGCATAAAAGAGAGAGCCAAAAGAGTAAGCATGTAAAATCTCCTTGCACGACAATAACGTATCGAAAAGAAGAGGAAAACGAAGAAAAAAAATGAGGAAGTAGGGAAGTGAAAATGGAGGAGGGTGAGGCAGGACAGAAAAGAAGTGGGGAAGTGAAAATGGAGAAGGGTGAGAAGGAAGGCGAAGGAAGTGGGCAAGTGAAAACATAGGAGTTAAAGTTTGATTTGTATAGGCCAATAGATGAGGAAAAGAAAAAACTCTTCTATGCCTATTAAAATGATTCTGGAAGTGATGGGCATGTGAAGTGCAGGACCGGGATTATCCTTGAGAGTGGTTTGAAAATATGTTAATAATGGACAGATGGCTCAACAACTCGGTGAGTTATTTTCCCTTATTTTTTATTATGTTTTCCATGAGGTATTGTATTCTTATCATGTTGTTTATATTTGCATCTAAGATGATCTTGATTCTGCCTTGGACTTGATCGTTTAAGCAATCACAAATCACTTAATCGACCAAGGCTAAAAGTGAAGAATCGCTTAAGTGATCTTGATTTTGCCTTGGACTTGATCGCTTAAGTGACCAAAAAAGTAAACAATCACTTAAGCGAGACCTTAAATCACTTAAGTGATCGTGCACCTGGGGTGACTTCATTTTGCCTTGGACTTGATCGCTTATGCAACCAAGGGTAAAAGTGAAGAATCGCTTGAGTGATCTTGATTCTAACTTGTACATGATCGCTTAAACGACAATGCATCGCTTAAGCAACTAAGGCCAAAATTTACTAGATCACTTAAGCGAAACCTGAAATCACTTAAGCGATCCAGTATATTTGAATGATCTTTATTATGCCTTTCACAAGATCACTTAAGCGATTTATATTATCGCTTAAGTGACAAAGACTTATACTCCCTTTTCTTTTTTTTTTTTTTTTTTTTTTTTTTGGGAATAGGTTGTCAACCCCATATTAAGCGATGTTAATGTGAACTTTGAACGTTCACAACATCACGTGATTATTAACATTAATGTTAAGCGACATCGGTTATTAACATATATTAAGGTCAATTAAGAAGGATTATTTGCAACCTAATTCCATCAACACATATTAATGTTACAACCGTATGATATATGGATTAATGTCATCGCAAACTAGTGTGACATGTTAGTAGAAACGTACCTCATTTCACAAATATGGATGGTGTATTTGAGAATGATTATTGTGCTATTTTTACTGACTAAAATGCAGTCAAATCTTGTACAATATGGGGGGAACAGATTGAAATAAGCTTGAATTTTGACTATACAATTAGTTCAGTGGATCATTATTTGTCTTGTGTCAACTGATTTGATTATTTATATCATTTAATATATATTTTTTTAATTATATTTTAATTAAACTAATTTTTTTTACTTGTGTAGATAAACATGGAAAAGAAATATTAAAGTATAAAATGATTCTATATAATACAAATTTTAATGTTTTTAAAGTACCAAAGTAAATTAGCCTTGATCGCTTAAGCGATGTATTGTTTCGCTTAAGCGATCCTGTATATTTAGCCTTGGTCATTTAAGCGATGTACGCCATTGCTTAAGCGATCTTGTCAAAGGCAGTATAAAGATCATTCGAATATACTGGATCACTTAAGTGATTTCAGGTATTGCTTAAGCGATCTAGTAAATTTAGCCATAGTCGCTTAAGTGATTTACAATCGCTTAAGTGACACGTACAAGCCAGAATCAAGATCACTTAAGCGATTCTTCACTTTTAGCCTTGGTCGATTAAGTGATTCAGGATCGCTTAAGCAATCAAGTCCAAGGCAGAATCAAGATCATCCTAGATGCACGATCGCTTAAGCGATTTATGTATCGCTTAAGTGATTCTTCACTTTTAGCCTGGGTTGCTTAAGAGATTTAAAATCGCTTAACCGATCAAGTGCAAGGCAGAATCAAGATCATCCTAGATGCACGATTGCTTAAGCGATTTATGTATCACTTAAGCGATCTTCACTTTTAGCCTTGGTCGCTTAAGCGATCAAATCCAAGGTAGAATCAAGATCATCTTAGATGCACGATCACTTAAGTGATTTAGGGTCTCGTTTAAGCGATTCTTCACTTTTAGCCTTGGTCACTTAAGCGATCAAGTCTAAGGCAGAATCAAGATTATCCCAGATGCATGATTGCTTGAGCGATTTAGGATCTCGCTTAAGCGATCCTGTATAGAAAACCCTTGATCACTTAAGCGATATATATAGTCGCTTAAGCGATCATGGCCAACACTTATTTTTTCCAGCTTTTCTCCTGAATTTTGACAAACTAAAATCACCAACACATATTAATTCCATCTTTTCTCCTGA